GGAATTTTTTGAAAAGGTTTTTTTTTTTTTTTTTTTTTTTTTTTTTTTTTGGTCCGCGTTCGGGCCGAACGGCCGAACGCCTTCCGAAGGGGTCCCGTACGTTTGGGCGTTCGGGTTCGGGCGTTCGGCCCGTCCCGAACACCGGCAACCCTGTATATATATAAAATATGTATGTATATATGTACATGTATATCCTACTAGAGTGAGGTGCCGTGTTCTTTGAACACAAGTGCATAGTCAAGCCTGCAGCATCCCCTGCTTGGACTGAAAGAAGAGTTTTGCCGTATGTAAAAACCGCCGCTAGCACTTTGGAAAAAAAAAAAAAAAAACGCTGCTAGCACTGCTTAATGAAAAGAGAAGAGGGAAAAAAAAAAAAACACCGCTGGTGCTGTGTACCTGCACGTAGCTATGCGTAGCCTGTTGCATGCATGCATCGCAAATATCAGCCTGTCGTTAGCACTGTAAATGCAGTCCTGAAATTTCGACGTATATCTGGACGGTTTTATGAACGAGGTACATTCCCTCCAGATGTGGCTTGGCTTCTTTGATTGGATTTGTTTCTATGGCTGGTGGATTTATCGAAGTCAGCCGGTGCGACTTCCAGCTGCTGCTTCCACTGTTTCACTTCATTTCAATGGTCCATTTATTTTTGTAGTACCATATTTAAAATGTAAAGGCTAGTTTTAATTTTGTTATTCTTTTGAGTTCCATTTTCAACTTTATTATTTGTAACGTCATAGTCAAATAAATTAAATTAAATTGTACATATTTATTGTTTATGGATGAGGTCTGCAGTTTGGGTGAGTTATTGGCTCTGTGATTTTAATCGTGCTTTTAAATTTAACAGCTTTTTTTTTCCGTTCTTCTTGGTGCTATGATTCTCGGAGGCGAAGTTATGTCACAATGTTTTTTTTTGTTTTTTCTTTTTTTTTCCCAAAGCAATCAAATGTCGCTGGTTTTTATGCGAAAGCGATCAGGGGATACTCACACGAGGGCATTCCTGGATGTATCTGATGGCTTTTTCTGCGGAGCCTGACTGCACCTGACTGCAATTACGTCCACATAGATGTTGAAAAAAGTCCTAGTTTGAGTATGCCCTCAAACTGGGCGCCAGGAGATTGGGAAAAAAAAAAAAAAAAAAAAAGGATGGGCACGTTGGGTAGTATAATCCGGGGGTATAAACTACTATAAAGTACTATAAACCGAGAAATTGGCCAAACGGCTTTTATAGTACCAGTGCTTCCTGGGCGGGCCTCCTTTTTTTTCCCCTTTCTTCTCCTTTTTCCCAAATTGGTGACCTGAATCGGCCTGCGTATCTGTGGCTTCCAAAACTCATATGGTACCATGTCTTCCTAGGTGCAGCATGTCAGGCTCAGAGATAGCCGTGGTTTAAACCACCAGTACGTGGTGGTGGTTTAAACTTTAAAGTTTAAACCAGCACGACGTACTGGTGGTTTAAACCACGTCTATCTCTGAGCCTGACATGAATAAAATAAAATAAAATAATACAATAATAATAATAAAATTAAATAAATAAAAATGAAATAAACCACCAGTACGTTTTGCAGCCATTTTTTCAAAATTGCGGCGTGCATGCAGGTGCAACTTTTCCGGTGCTCGGCCTCCGGAGCAAAATGGTTGGCAACTTGGCAGCGCTACCGGTAGCCAAAGGGAGGCCCGCGCCAGTTCTTTTTTTTTTGGCGTGTAGGGCGATTCCAGGCCCAGAGAAAAGTGCCTCGGACGTACCGGTGGTTAAAAAAAAGAAAAAAAAAGGAAAAAAAGAAAAGTGCCTCGGACGTACCAGTGGTTGAAGCTTCCAACGCCCTTCAATTTTCCAAAGTCAGACACTGATTGATTTCTGACTGGTCTTTTTCCTTTGCAATGTTCAATTGTTCGAAATGTAACTCAGGGATGCCATTTCTCAGCCCTTCTGGACACAGGCTTTGACAGAGGCTTCAGCAGGTGCTTCGGCAGTGGCTTCGGCAGGGGCTTCGGCAGGGGCTTCGGCAGGGGCTTCGGCAGGGGCTTCGCCCTCATCTGTGGATTCTGCAAATTCTATTCAATCGTCTGCACTCAGCTCCGTAAACCTACCTGGAAAGTATGTGGCACCAATTCCTCTCAATACAGCCTTCTTCCCCCCCGGCCCCGCCCGCCCGCCCGCCCCAGTCCCCTCCTCCCTTGCAAGGGGGTTAAATCCAAAACGTTTTGTATTCAACAAGATCTCACTTTTTTTTTTTTGCCTATTGTAACTTCGACTTTTTTGAATAGACAAAGGTTGTTTGTCTCTCTTGATTTATCTCCTGAAGCGTAGGTGGCGGCTGTGGCAAAACGGACTGGGTGCTTAAACAAACAAACAAACAAACAAACAAACAAACAAACAGACAAACAAACAAACAGACAAACAAACAAACAGACAAACAAACAAACAAAAAAAAAAGAAAAAAAAAAAGGACTGGGTGCAGGAGAGAAGGACGACAAGTGCACAAGTTTGCACAAGTTCAGCGAAGCTCAGGAGACACTTCACTGTGACTTCAGCGATCAAACACCGCACAAGTAGGAGAAGAAAATCCCCGAATCGGGAGGGAAGACTCGATGAAAATAATACAAGTGACGCCTACCCTTAGAGGGGCGGAGCCCTCTACCCGCAGCATTTCGCCAGAGCCGCCACTCTAGCTTATCAGGAGGATGGAGCTTCCTGACTTCCTAGTACGGACCAATGCCCTGATCTGTGGGTTAAATACTTCAGTTTGCATGTCATCGTACCATTTTTGCAATGGAGTCAAAATAGACCAAAGGTCCAAATGAGATTAAAAAAAGAAAAAAAAGAAAAGAAGGAAAACCGAGAACAACAAGCGATTCCGAAAACAAAAACATCAATGGTACAATCACAATGACATCATGAAACAGTAGAAATACAAAGGCAAGAAGAAGAAGAAGAAGAAGAAGGTGATATAGCTCAGTGGTAAGAGCACCGGTTGGAAATGCGCATTGTGGTATAAGGTTACGGGTTCGGAACCCCGCAGCCTTGTGCATGGACACTGGCAGGGCGTTAGATTGACGCACGGCTGGACACACATCCAGTTGGGCTGACGCATGGTACTATTACAGACATTGCCTGCGCACCACCCAAGGGTAGTCCACGGTGTTGTATGTTGGTTGTGGGTTTCACAGGGTTTGCTTGGGGTGGTGGTCCCGGGTGTTCTGATGTTCTCCCCAGCCAGTCTGGGATATCACACGATCATTCCATTTCCGGTAGTTGCTCATACGGTAGAGTCCTGGATTACAGGTTACAAGGTCACGGGTTCAAGCTTGGTTCGGTGCTTGGGGGGGGGGGTCCTTGTCCAGCTGGCCCAAGGTCACGGGTTCAAGCTTCGTTCGGTCCTTGGGGGGGGGTCCTTGTCCAGCTGGCCCGTTCTCTTCTCGATACATGATTCACAGAGTACACATAGCTTTCGGGCATGCACATATAGCTTGCGAATTATATATCGCTTACAGGTTACAGACACAAGGTTCCACACATGATACTGTCTACACAGATTCACAGAATATATACACAAAAAACAGGCTGGGGAGTTAGTCACTGGTGGGGTCTAGTGCCTGCAGTAGGTTCAGGTAGGTTGGATAGGGTGCCATTGGGTGCAGTTCCTACTGACATTCGGATAGAACTGTCTGGTGGCTATATATATATATATACGAGCCTTGCACGTGAGAGGCACAGTGGAGGTGGAGTTCAAAGAAGAATGAGAAATTTAATGGTTTCAATCTGCCCTTGTTTTTTCTTTTTGTTTTTATTTTTGCATGTTATCACTGTGCCCGTTTTTTGCTTTTATTCTTTGTTCCGCAAAGTGCGCTCTTTTAGTTTGTAGTGATGTGACAATATATATATATATATATGGGGCCTGTAGTTCATTGTCTGGGCCTGGTGTCCGAAGTTCCCGTTCGACAAGGTTCGTCCGATTCGGCTTCCACCAGGGGTGGGCAATCTATCAGCCCTGGTGCCTATCACTGCTGTTCGGTCCAAGTTGCCTGCCTGTTGGTAGGGCAATGGTCCTGAGTGCTGGTCACACTGAGGTAGAATAGTTGGATAGGGGGTGCGCTAGGAGTATTGACGTGAGGATGGGCTGGGAGGTGGTCTCATATTCCAGGACACCCACGGCTCACAGGACCATTGCCCTACCAACGGGCAGGCAACTTGGACCGAACACCAGTGATAGGCACCGGGGCTGATAGATTGCCCAGCCCTGGTGGAAGCGGAATCGGATGAACCTTGTCGAACGGGAACTTCGGAGGCCAGGCCGAAGAAGAAGAAGAAACACAATGAACTTAACTTCTTCATTTGTCTCTCTCTCCTCTTAAGTTCATTCATTTCTTTTTTGCAATTGGATGGAATTGTGTTTGCTTGTGTACTTCCACTTTGGAATTGGCCAGGATCGTAGTAACAGTACTGTCATCTTGTCTGCATCTGGACTGAAATTTGAGGCAAATACGACCGACGTACATTCTATTCAGGGGAAGACGGTAGTATCCCAAGCAGTGTACTGTTTGCACATCTGTTTTTCTCAGAATGAACGTCAAAAATATTGGCATCATGGATGATGAAACGGTTTTCACCTTTTAGCAGTAGCGGATGCAGTACCCAGGGTTTGATCCCTAGACCTCACCCTACCCATGTACAGTATCTGTGTAGACCCCGAGAATTGAACCTGTGACCTGTG